AACCTCACTTCTCAACTCCAAAAACGGTCTCTTCACTTGCGATTAAAATTAAAAGTAAGATTAAGAACACTACGAAGAGTATATAACCAAGAGTCCATATGGACTCTTGATATAACCTATAACCTTAGTAGTGCCTTTGCTGTTTGCGTTATGCAGAGCTCACTGACTTGTCAGTTTGAGCACTCTGGCAAGGTACGTTCGGGCCTGATTGGAAATTTTTATTTCCATTGCTATCAGGTTCGGCCTCATTTCCTCTGTGCTGCGCTGATGAGTTCAAAAAGAACGAAACAGCATGCTGTCCGCAGATTGAGTATTTCGCTCCTGCTCTTGTAGCAGTTGAGCACTCTTGCGTGGGGTAGTGCCTTTGCTGTTTGCGTTATGCAGAGCTCACTGACTTGTCAGTTTGAGCACTCTGGCAAGATACGTTCGGGCCTGATTGGAAATTTTTATTTCCATTGCTATCAGGTTCGGCCTCATTTCCTCTGTGCTGCGCTGATGAGTTCAAAAAGAACGAAACAGCATGCTGTCCGCAGATTGAGTATTTCGCTCCTGCTCTTGTAGCAGTTGAGCACTCTTGCGTGGGGTAGTGCCTTTGCTGTTTGCGTTATGCAGAGCTCACTGACTTGTCAGTTTGAGCACTCTAGCAAGGTACGTTCGGGCCTGATTGGAAATTTTTATTTCCATTGCTATCAGGTTCGGCCTCATTTCCTCTGTGCTGCGCTGATGAGTTCAAAAAGAACGAAACAGCATGCTGTCCGCAGATTGAGTAACCTATAACCTCTATACTTCCTTTTCCTGCCTACATTTATTATTAGCTCAACATCCGAGTTTCAAATTATATATAACGAAGTGCCTGATTGGAAATTTTTACTTCTTTTGAAGTATTTCCATTGCTATCAGGTTCGGCCTCATTCCCTCTGTGCTGCGCTGACGAGTCCACACAGGACGAAACAGTTCTGTCCGCAGATTGAGTATAACGAAGCGCTAACTCGAACCAGTTAACGAGGAGAAATCTGTAGTTAAAGTAGAAATCGTTATACAGAAATCGATACAATCATATACTGCCCTATTGAGCGTTGAGAATGAGTGAGAATCGTTACCTTTGGTACACGTAAACTGGTCAATTTTGGGAATTATATGCGCCTCGTTAGAATTATGGCTTCTACAGTATTCATTTTTCCCAGAAATGAGAAGCCCAGCATGTGCTATTTCTCTCACGAATTATAACTCTCCTGTCCACAATCTGTACTTTTTTCTCTCTCTCTTTCTCTCCCCTTCTCATCGCCCACATCGTTGTCTCTCTTCATGTCACGCCGTCGAAGTCACCAACATGTACCACACGCTTCATACTATATTATGCACTGTCAGTTTTCTCTCTCTGTCTCTCTCTTCCTTTCTCCCTCTACATCATTCACATATGCACGAGAGCAACGGGGCACTGGTTAAGGAGATCACCTCGTTACAGAAACCACACTTTGCAAGTCCTTTGAGCAGTCGTCTTAGACACGTTTCAATGTACAGTACAGGAAAACCTGGTGTAAGCGACCTCTGGGTTTAGCGACCACCTGCTCTTAACGACCGTTTTTCCATTAGCCGGCAGCTCTACACAGACAGTGTGAGACCTGGTTCTAAAGACCACCTGGCTGTAATGACCGCTTTTGCTTGCACCGTAGGGTGGTCGCTTAAACCAGGTTTTCCTGGATCCTGAGAAGCGACACTTCAAAGCGTGTTCCAACGTAAAAAATATTCATGCCGTCTTTTCTTGGGGTTCTTATTTTTTCAGTGACACCTCTACCCGCGCTACTGGGCTAGTATTGGAGACTGCGGGTTTATGTTTCCAATGCTCCACTATCAATATTGTTAAAACTGATGTTCCGCAACAGCATGGGCGCCGGGAAGGAAGTAGTAGACCGAAAACCTTACAAATAAGTGCGGGACATATTATGCAGTCAGTATACTTGCTGCATACTCCGAGTGGGGTCCGCGCTACTGTTAGAGACTATGCTCTTATTATTTCAAACAACCCTCACCCCGGGTCATTATTGGAGATCTGGGATTTATTATAGAAAACACGTTACCCAGGTACAGTGTTATGGCAAGTAAGCGTCCGCCATATCTAACTTAGGAAGCAAGCCACGTGTGTTGATCAAACTTACTTGGAAAGAATTGAGAGGACGCGTAAGGGACGATACCAGCCAGGACAATCACCAGGCCAACAATGGAAAGGGTCGCCATCTGCCGAGTCCAGGAAAACGCATACAAGTCCGCAGTTTTTCATACATCGTATTAATACTCAAATCTGTGCACAAAACGGCAATTGCAATTGTCGAAGTGCTGTCCTTAAATTGAGACAGAAGGAGAATGATCCAAACGCGTATGCTCGGAAAATATTTTCCGGGTAATCTGGTAATGCTGCCAAAATGGGATTGTGTTGCACGTTTGTAACTCGAACAGACCTTGGGACAATCCCGGCAAAGCCATGTGGTCCGTTTTAACCAATTTCACTGCTTTTCGAACAGAATCTGCCAATCGTTCGAGCATGGTCCGCAAAGGGTAGGTGAGTACGAGTGCACATAGGACTACAGAATTAGTAGCCTCTTTGGAAATATCAACTATTATACAACTGCAGACAGAGAGAGAGAGAGCGAGAGCGAAAAGAGAGGAGAGAGGAGAGGAGAGAGGAGAGAGAGAGAGAGAGAGAGAGACAGACAAAGAGAGAAATTACCTCGAGCTGGGTAATGTTTGCGAGCTTCCTTGATGACAAAAGTGTCCAACTTGGACTTTATCTATCTGAGAGCATATGCCAAAGATCCAATTTGCAGATGAGGGGGTTTGCAGTCTTCAAATCATTTGGGAGTGGAAAACACAGGGGGGACAGATATACATATTATCGTGAAGATACGATGGGGGGTACGTCTACCCTACTGGACACATGCAGTTGCCGCCGGCGCAAGAACGCGAAAAGGCGCGGTAAAACGCACAGTCCAGTCCGGGCGAAAAACCTTACCCGGCGTTACCGTACACATGTCAACGCTGCGCCAAGTACAGATCTAGATAGAGACAGGAAGGTTGGCGGTTGTAGTAAAGTACTGGCAACGGCTACCGGCTTCGAAATTCAAAAGAAAAAAGTATCTTTTCCACTCAAACTAGACTGGCTGCAAGAGTAATCGGCCACACAGCAGTAATAATGTATCGCCTGATCAAATTCGCATATCAAAACCAGGGAGTAGTACAATACCTACTGCTCCCTGATCAAAAACCACTATGGGAAAGAGTACTCTTGCTATGGGTAAGGGTTCGCACGAGGGATCAGTGATAGTTTATCTTGTTATTTCTTCAAGATTAGTCTTTTTAGACTTTTAATTTTTATTTCCATCACCTGATCACTGAGATTACAATACTTTTTGAATGAGTGTGATCAACACCCGATATACATGTACATGTGTACATGTACAGTCATTTACATGTACATGTACATGTAAACACTTTTATTGATTTATTTTTTGAAAAAAAAGACGAGGGAACAGTTCGTGCGATAACCAGGGAGTAGTAAAATATCGGTATATCACTACTCTGGTCTACACTTTCAAGTCTCTTAGAAAAATCTGTACTTAAAAAAAATTCCATACTACTCAATCTGCGGACAGCCTGCTGTTTCTTTCTTTGTGAACTCCTCAGCGCAGCACAGAGAAAATGAGGCTGAATTCATGAACCTGATAGCAATGAAAATAAAATTTCCAAACCCCGAACGTAAATTGAAAACTATAAAGGGTGTAGTACAAACAGTGTTTTTTTTAGTAGCAAACAGGGAGTCGTAAAATACCGGTATTTTACGACTCCCTGGTAGCAAACACAGCCATTGCCGCCGGCTCTGCTGACACGGGCAGAGGCGTGACCGTTCGCCTTTGCATGCCGGTGGGCATTTTTAGTAGGTAACGCTTTCTTGTGAAGCTTTTGCGTTCAATTATAATTATAATAGTATTTCAATTGAGTATTGAGTGTTCTATTTATTTCTGAAATTGGGTTGTCTATTTGGTTTGACTCTTCCTTCATGGTGTTGTGAATAAAACCGTTCTCAAGCAAACACAGAAATAACCAGGGAAAGAGGACAACTGAAGTTATTATGGGCATCGTAGATAACACTCTGGGGGGTTATGTACTCTTGGTATTACGCATTATCCTAGTCTGCAACCCCACCTGGAGATATTATGGATATTGCACTGGTTCTCCGCCTTCTCCGTGAATAAGCTGAACAACAAAAATAATAACTTGCTGCTGAAAGAAAAAAAAATGATAACACCCGAAATTCGAAAGCGCTAAATGCAAACAGAAGAAAATAGTAATAATGATGGAGAGCGCAAAATAAAGAGAGGGGATATTAAAAATTTAATAAATAATAATAATAATAAATTTAATGTAGAAAGGAAAAGGACATAATGGATACGAGTTAAGAGTAACTCTCCATCACTGTGACATGATACTATAATTATACAGTAAGAAAGTGCAACAACTACAAATTACTTGTAGGCACAAAACTGACAGAGTACTGAGACATTTGATACAGTGATATATTATCATGTTACAGTGATGGAGGGCGAGTTTCAAATAAAAAAATAACCAGAAGGGGGAAAAACCGGAGTCCGCGAAAATGCACTTTCAAGTCTGGAAGAAGTGAACCCCGCGCGCGGACTATTGGTTACCGTATTAGGACGTCACACCGTTCCAGCCATTTGCTTGTCGTGTCAAACCAATCCTATAACCCAGTCGTCCTGAACGGCACAGGAATTCGTTCTCTCTCTCTCCCTCTTTCGGAGAGACTTCTTAGGTAGTAGTAGTAGCAGTAGTAGTAGTAGTAGTAGTAGTAGTAGTAGTAATATTTTTTTTTGTTATCTTGCCGTGAGTTTCTCTTTGCTCCTCGCGCATCTGTAGTTGTTGTGGGTGTGTTTGCGTAGGTGACACAGCAAGCCGAAGCAGTTTTTGTCTTTAGTACTCTGTTCAGCATGAAGGTCGCTGCTTTGTACATGGCCGGGCTCTCGGTCCTCGCCTGTCTCTTGTGTGCCAGTGTTCAGGTGGGAGAAGCCAAGACAGTGATGAGGGCCATTGCCAAGCCCAAGGCCATTGCCAAGGCCATTGCTCCCGATGCTCACTTTCCGCCAAACTGGCCGAAAAACCGGGTCGAATTCATTGCGATGTTTCATCGAATGCTTGCGGAGCGGAAGCAGAATGCGTTTAAGCGGGAGGCATCGCCTGAGTTGCCCGCATTGCACCAGGATGGACAGCCAGTACAGGATCTGCCCCATCTCTATCCCGCACAACCTCTGCCAGACATCGAGGATGCGTTGACGTCTTTGAGGGCCCGAATTCAGGATCCTCAGCAGCAGCAGAATCAACATCCAGTAACTGAGCAGCAGAAAGAGGAGGAACGTCCAGTGACGCAACAGCAGAAGCAGCAAGAGGAGGAACGTCCAGTGACGCAACAGCAGAAGCAGCAAGAGGAGGAACGTCCAGTGACGCAACAGCAGAAGCAGCAAGAGGAGGAACGTCCAGTAACTAAACAGCAGGAGGATGAGGATGACGGTAGTGCTTTGCCAGAGAAGCAGGTCATAAAACAGCAGGAGGGTCGGGCACAGCAGCAGCCGCAGGAGGAACATTTTCCGGAGGACAGAGAGAAGGCCGAACCTGAGCTTCCGGAATCATCCCAGTCATTGATTAACAGTGAGCCAGGTTCAGAATGGCAGCATCCTGAAGCTTTGGCTCCCGCTGACCCCGGTCAAAGACCAGCTGTTGAGCAGCAATACGAGCAGCAAAGCAATGATGAATGGGCCATGGGTTCAGAATGGCAGCATCCTGAAGCTTTGGCTGCCGCAGACCCCGGCCAAGGACCAGCTGTTGAGCAGCAAGACGAGCAGCAAAGCAATGATGAATGGGCCATGGGTTCAGAATGGCAGCATCCTGAAGCCTTTGCTCCCGCTGACCCCGGTCAAGGACCAGCTGTTGAGCAGCAAGACGAGCAGCAAAGCAATGATGAATGGGCCATGGACGAGCAGAACATGCCGTTCTAAAGACAGTCCTTACGTCCAGTGCCTGTCTGCAACCGTCCAGTGTGCTACGCGTTGCTATTAAGTGGCCATACTGGCTGACAACGCTGAATGGTTCGGATGCGGTTTTGTTTTGTCTCTGATTTGTCTGCTGATGATCTCTTCATTGAAGTCTTATCTTTGTACCTCACAGTATGGGTCTATTTTCTTGTCCTGTACTTTCCTGAGTGTTGTTTCTCCTTTCCTCTCCTACTTCCCACATCTGCATGTCCCTGTGTGCATATGCCTTGCACAATTCACTAACCTCATGTTGTACAGTTGCGTGTATTTGTCCCACTCAATCCATCAATAAACCATTCTACTCAACCAATTTTGTGCCGAATATTGAAATTGTGTGGTAGAATGATCGCAACAAGTTTCCAGTATCTTATGCGTAGAAGTCGATAGATTGATCTCTAAGCAAAATGTTGCGATCGTTTCAGCCCTGCTATGCATGTCATCAAGAGTCCATAATACCCTGGGGGTTTGAGTGCCTAGATTTCGACATGCGAACTGTAACTATTATTATTATTATTACTGAAGTACTTAGTACGAGTCGCACGCCAGTCAGTATTGCTGCAACAGTCCAAAGTCAGTTCTTGCCAAGGGGGGGGGGGGGTCGAGGGTCACAGCGCTTCCCCCACTCTGTTTGTCCACCCCACCCTCCTCATTTGTCGATTTTGTGTTCGTTTTTCATGCCGTTCAACGAGAATGTCTTCGATAGTCGAGTCAGTCACTGCTACTGCGCGGCAAGACAATTTGGAAAATGGGTAACGGGGTAACTGTGTCCCATGCCCATCCCGTACTACATGTAGTTTGACCCTGATCTGTATGAATAAAATAACGCTGTACTGAAACACACAAGGCAAGGTAGGTAGGTCTCGGGCTTCCACGTTGATCTTGTAACACTTAAAAAATAAAAATAAATAAAAAAATCTTGCTACTCTTTCGTTTTCTCTCCCCTCACTTTTATTTATGGCCATGGTAGCACTGGTTGGCAATCATCTACTCTCTTAACACTGGCCGGTGGTTCCACCGAGTCTTGATAATTATTTTGTCATAAATATCATTTCCGCTGTGCTGCGGTGATGAGTCCACAAAGAACGAGACAGTTCTGTCTACAGATTGAGTAAATATGAAAATATACATTATAGGAGCGTGTTCTTGTGACTGTGCGAATTGCACAAATAGTGTGAGCGTAGTGCCAATATGTCCCCCTGGGGACGTTGTCGCGGTCTGGCAAATTTCTACGTCTGAGAGACGTAGACCACGGAAACACCCACAGGCGAACTTGGAAGGTTCTGAGTTGTGAAATAACTTGAGAAATTGGAAGGTGAGCGCACTCAACGAAAACAAGCTAAACATCAACTTAGAACCTTTCTGTGTGTGAAAGCGGTTAGCGTGCGCTTTCAAGACGTGCTAGCGTCAGGTTGTTGAATGTCAGCACCACGGCAGTCATTATTATGCTAACTAAGGCACGTTCTGACTAATAAACAATCAATATCATGGTTATAATTGCCAGTGGTGGACGACGACGGGTAACTTGTAAACCTTTGGTGCTTTCTTTCTGATTCTTCCTTACATAGTGAAGAAGCGGTTGGTGCGACTTCGGCGTTACTTGGGGAACTGTGCGTTGCTCCCTACATGGAGCTGGCGCTTTTTCTGCCGACTTGAATTCTCACTTCACAGACTCACGACTGCCAACCAGAGCAGAAGATAAGTCCATCGAACCTTCCGCTCTGTAAACCTACAAGAGAGCACCACTCCCTGCTCAATACACAGTGTTTTCTTACTACTGTACAAGGTTTTAACACACCAAGCTACAGTGACACAGGCACTAGACTACAATGCAACAGGTACAAGGTTGAAGAATCTGCATGCTCTACATGGCCCCCTCCCAGATTGAATCACGTCCTCGTGATAAGGTGAATATTGTAAAAATAAAAATAATGAAACGAAAGAACCCAAGGAAGAAGATATAAACTGTGTGTTAAATGCCAACCCAACACTATATCTAAAAAAAACTGAAATCTCAATCTCTCAAATCTTCTCAAGAAAACTGTACATATCAATTGTTCTTGGCTCTCATTGACGGTAGCCCTTGGCGGATAATGCTCGAAAAGGTGGCAGATTCTGCTCGAAAAGCAGTGAAATTGGCAGAACCATACAAACCTTATGGCGGGCAATTCCTCGAATTCTGCTCCATTGCTTTATCCACATACCAAACATGCATGAAACTTACCCGAAAAAGTACCGAATTCTGCCAATTTTTCTGCCGGCATTATCCGCCAAGGCCTAATTGACGGTATCGCACCGGCCTCTGGAGATTTGCCCCATTACGTAAGTTATACCCACCTGCCTGCGGGATGATCGGAACTGCCGGCACAACGGGAGCTGCCGGAACAGCCGGAACTGGAACAGCTGGAACTGCCGGAACTGGAATAACCGGAACTGCCGGAACTGGAACAGGCGGAACTGGAATACATGTAGCCGGAACTGCGTCTTGCACGTAATCAATTAGCGCCGGTTGAGGTAGGTGTGCTGGCACTGGAGCATGCTGCTCCTCCGGTACTTGAGTCGTTGACTTGAGCCGGTTGATGTGCACCACCTGGAGTTTCCCTGTATCACAGTGCTCAATCCTATACACCACGTCATCGATCACCTCGACAACTCGATACGGCCCGGTCCATGGCTTGAGGAACTTCTTTGTGTTGCCTGCTTTCACAGCTGGGTTGTGTAAGCGCACCTTGTCATTGATCGCAAACCGTGGCTTGGTCGTCTTTGCATCATAGTAGTCCTTCTGACGTTTCTGTGCTTTAGCGCCAGCTGATCGAGCGTGAGAAAATGCCTGCTGCACGGAGATCTCGAGACCAATCATATAGTCAGGTACAGATTTGACATGTTCTCTGGAGTCGTTAAACATAATAGGGAGGTTTAGTCCCACGTAATCCGTGGGTACCTTACGTGTGTGTACCACGTGATACTCAGTGACCCACGTACAGACGTTTTCTGGTTCACGACATACCGTGTATGGAGGCTCACCCACGTTCCGCCAGAACGTGGGTGAAAATCAGAATGGAGCGCATTGTGCGAGCTGTGAGGGTGCTCAGCTGAAGAAGTTTCCGAAGCACGAAATCGAAATATTGGATGAGCTTCTCAGGCCCGGGTAGCTTCGTCTTTGATCAGGTTTGGGCCTTTCGCTTCATGCTTTTGTTTGTTCCGTGTGACTAAACACAACATTGCAACGTGGATGACCTTCATCCACTTTACGTGGATCACCCACGTACGCGTTTCCGTTACGTGGGAACTAAACCTCACTAATATCCACTGGCAACTTAAGCTCTCTGCCGAACATCAATCTAGCTGGGGTTTCGTTGTTTGAACTATGTACGCTACTACGATACGCCAGTAAACAGCGTTGAATATGCAGGTCCCAGTCATTGTGATTGGCATTGACTCTGGCACTCAGCATGTTCTCCAGTGTACGATTCATCCGTTCAACTAAATCATCACTAGAAGGATGATATGGAGTCGTGCGTGTCTTCTTCATATCCAAAAGTTCACAGATGGATTTGAACAAATTTGACTCAAATTGCGCACCTTGATCAGTGTGGATAGACAGTGGCACACCGTAGCGACAAATGAAACCATCAATCAGTGCCGAAGCTATTGTCTTAGCAGTCATATCCGGGATGGCAAACGCTTCTACCCACTTCGTGAAATAATCAGTAATCACAACAATGTAGAGGTTACCTCGATTTGTTCTGGGCAGTGGTCCCATGATGTCCATAGCGACACGTTGCAGCGGAAAGGATGGTCGGTCCACCTTCATCGGAGCGCGAGCGGTTGGTGCTGGGGTATGCCTAGCTGAACAAAGCGCACACGCCTTGCAATGCAGCTCAATGTCAGACGACATAAAAGGCCAATAGAATCTAGCTTTCACCTTCTCTAGAGTACGTTCAGTAGCGAGGTGGCCACCACTACACTCATTGTGCATCCCAGTCATAATTCTCTGTCGCAAACTGACAGGTACAACAAGTTGCAGAAATGAGTTGCTACCATCTACTGAAGTGTACGTACGATACAATAAGCCATCTTGCAGAACCAGCCGTTTCCACTGACTCCACAGACGTATCAAGGTTAATGATGCTCCTTTCATAGCACTATCACTGCGTTTAGGCCTGTCTATTATTAGTGTCTAACAATGCTTGTTGCCAACCAATCATGCAGTCAATGTCACTGTCTTCCGCTTGAGCTCTGCGAATATCTTCTGCACTAAACAATCTGCCCAATTGCTTCCAAGTAAATTGCTATCAACGCTCCTACATGGTTACTTCCCCTGTTTAACCCCCAAGACGAAATGATAGTAGCCGACTGGCCGAAATTAAAAAAATAAACTCTGCAGATGCAAATTGTGGACCATTGTCGCTGACGTTGAGATCTGGGCAACCATATCTGGCGATTACTGTCCTGAGACTCGCGATGGTAGCCAAAGACGTTGTGGAAGGCATCGGAATGACTTCGGGCCATTTTGAATGGGCATTGACAACGACGAGCCACATCGTTTGCCGCAATGGACCAAGGTAATCCACGTGGACGCGCTGCCACACGTGGTCTGGCATTGCTCCATCGGTGCACTGGTGTGGCAGCAGGTTCGCTCTGGACACTTTGGCATCCGAGGTATGCTTTGACTACGTCTGCTATGTCGCCGTTCAAGCCCGGCCACCAGAGGATGCTTCTCGCCAATGAACAGCGACAACAACTCCGTAAAGAAAGATAACGTCAAATAAAACAGTGAAAAACACAGAGACGCAAAGGACATGTGGATAATGAGCTATTTTATGTCGTAGTAAATAAGGGGCGGCACGGATCTTAAACAGGTGGAGTGAGGTCAGATCCTTAACTTCTCTGGGTAGAGTGAGCCAAACAGAAAAAAGCAATAAAGAGAGGGGAGCGCAAAAGAGTGGATGAGTTACACTTGGGGA